GAGCAGCTCTTGCTGGCCACCAATGTAGTCTGCCCAAGGCTTGCACCCAGTGACCCACAGCCTGGGGGAAGCAGAGACTGTGAAGTGGTTGTGGCTTGCCGGGGTGAGGCTGTCTTATCAGCGCAACTGAAGATGCCACTCTGCATGTCAGCAGCTGGTAACTAGATGCAGCTCTTGGATGTGCTGGTTGGAGTCCTATCAGCTCCCAGGAACACAATGGAGTGCTTTGTTCCTGCCTGCACAGGGAGCCTTTCTGGTACCTGGGGAGGTGGCTGGGTCCATTCCAGTTGTAGGGATAGCTCTGAGCTCCACAAGATGCTGGAGCTGACTGCAGAGCAAAGACAAGCAGACCTAGAAGTAACTAAGGAGGAAAGGCAGGCCATCCAAGCTAAAGGTGGCTTGAGGATGGATCTATGTATTCATCCTCCCTTCCCCCCTCTCTTTTGCCTGCTGAAGGAATTGCTCTCCATAAGGATGGTAGGCAAGACAGGAAACTTAAATTCAGAGGGTAATTGGGAGAGACAATGGAGGACTTGACAAGGAGAGTGAAGGGCTGATGGGGTGTTTCTGCCCCGTTTATCATTTAATTGTGATTTTTAGGTAGCGCTGGTCTTGTGCTGCAGCAAGGGAGAGGCTCTTCACTGCTGCATGTTTCACCTGGCCTCTGGAAGGTGGCAGGCAGAGGCACAAATTTCTTTTCTCCAGCTGTTTTCTGGGACAGATGTAGAACACAGCAGCACGAGGCTGGCTGCAGTCGGCTGGTGGTGTCTGTCTCGTCCCTACGGACAGGCGAGCAGATGATGTTTGCAGTGGTGTGGCCAGACCCCTTTCCAACTGTGAGCTAATGCAGCTCCAGAAACAACTGTCTCTTCCAGTAAAAGCCTCCCTTGCTCTACTTTCCTCGCCCAGTGTTGGATGTCTCCATTTACTCTTTCTCAGCTTCTTTCTTGACAGACGTAGTATTTTGAGAAATACTGGATCTTCTGAAAGCCCTCAGAAATTTGCTCCCTACAGGGAAGTGCTCTGGCTTGGCCTGCTGGATTGCAACCCTCTTGGGATAACCCTATGCAGTCTCTTGTGGTGCTGGTCTCCTCTTCCAGATGGCTCCAGGAGCCCCCTGTTTGCAGAGCCTCTACTCCCTGGCAAAAGCAAGGTTCCTGAAACACTCTGAGGGAAGTGAAGAGAAAGCTGCCTTGGCAGGTGCCACTGTCCTAAAGACCATGTCCTCTTGGCTAGCTGCTGCTTCCGGTCTGGTTCTTCCAGTGCTTTCTGCTACTTTCAGAAACAACCCTCCTAGTGGGGGGAAGCGGGGGGGGAGGGGGGGAGGAGGAGTTGCTGCGTCGTTCCATCAAGCCCTTAATCTTTCTGTGGGCTGAAAGACCTGGCAGGTCATTCCCTCACCCTGCCAGCATGTCAGAGCCTTGGCTTGTACCCAGGATGATTGCATCTGCACAAGCTCCTGCCAGCCTCCAGGCAGAGCCCCTCTGGCTGCATGGCTGTGCTACTGGCAGGTGGGGCCACTGAGTCAGGCTGGTTGGGTTTGCATGCACAAGCATCGGAGACCTATAGGAGGAAGGCAAGGAGAGTTGGTCCATCAGAAGTGGTGGTTTATTAGTGCCAAGCTACAAACTGTGTTTTAGGAGAAAAGCAGGATTTCCGTTGAAACTGGAGGTGCTGGAGGCTCTGGCCAGCCTTGAGGTGGGGTGTGCACATGGGGCAGAAGCTCACTCAGACCCCCTGAGGAGGGGATGAAGAGCCACCAGGCTTGGGGAGTGGTGTGGGGAATGTCTGTCTTGCATGTGTGCAGCTGCTGTGCCTGCTTAAGTAAAGCTGTGCTGCTCATGCTGAGCCCGGTGTGGGATGGAGGCAGCTCTCAGGGTTAAGGACTTGCAGCCTTGTGAACAGGGGGAGTTTCCTGTTACTGCTGGGCAGGAGGAAACTGCTTCCAGCTGTTGAGGGGAGTGGTGCTGGAGTGGGAGTCATCGGCCAGGGAGGAGGACCGCTGGCTGCTGAGGAGATGTGGCTCTGCTGAGCGAACACCTCCCAGTGACTGGGGCTGGAGGGGAGCAAGTAACCCCAGTCCTTGCACTGGCAGCTGCTGTGGTGGCCCCATAAGCTGTCAGAGATGCTGCTGCCCACACTGAGCTGTGAGCCTTCCTGGCCTGTATCAGTGCAAGGAGACAACCATGCCCTAGAGCAGCGTGGTGGCCCCAAGCTGGGGAGCAAGGGTACAGCAGAGCTGGGTTCTCACAGGCTAACGGAGAAGTGAAGGCATGGTCTAAATGGCACCAAGATAGCACTTTGGTTATGGCACTAGATGGAACCCCTCACTGGGGAAGAGGGTCTTTTACTGTCTATGCCCTTGATTCCCTCCACCCAAGGCTGGACTGACTGGGATGCACCCGGCTGTTGTGTCATGGAGCAAGCTATGGGGCCAGCTGGGAGCTGAGTTGGTGGCATCCATTTGCCTCATGAAGGTCTCTGGCAAGGATTCTGACCAGCCCAGTGTGCCTGGCTACAGACAGCTGCCTGGAGCTGGTGCTTGAACAGGAGTCTGGGATCCAGCAGATCTAACCTAGCTGATGAGAGGCTCCTGCTAGGACAGAGCCTCTGAAAACTTGCAGGCCTCCCCGTGGGAAGCATCACAAGAGGAGGGACTTCAACAGCCCCAAGCATGAGCTCAGGGACCTCAGTTACTGGCATCACAACCTTTGTCATGGTGGAGGGAGGACTTGGCCATTGCAGGCTGCTGTGTTTTCTGGGAGGCACATGCTTCTTGTCCCCTCTAGCTCCTGTAAGGAAGCTGCAGTTCAAGATCTTGGCCATTTGCTACATGTCTTTGTATAAAGGAATGAATGCAAAGCCTCTGGCTTTGCACCTCCATCAGGTGTCAGACTTCTGCTTCTTACAGGGATAAAGGGAGTAGGATTTGAAGGGACCCATTGAGGATGTGTCTAGCTTGGAGAGTAATCCAAGGGCTGTCACTGAGTCTCTGGGTGTCCTGGCCTCCAGCTCTGTCTCTTTCTGAAGACCTGTGTGCAGCTTCTGGAGGTCTCGTGCAGCTGGGGTTGAGGACACAGGTCTGCATCTCCACTCTTGGATAACTTTGCAGCAAGACTTGTATTGCGTGTGCCATCCGGTGCATTGGTCGGGCAGCCTGCTGGCTGCTACACAGTTAGAAAACACCTACCTCCTACCAGCTGTCACTTCAACCTGGAGCGGCTTTCTTGATGTCTCTTGCACTTTTACAGCCTGCAGGGGAGACCTGACTGGCAAGAGCCCTGTTAGAAAGAGGCTGGCAGAATCACCCTTCCTGGTGTGACAGTAGTGCATCAGCCTTGTAGGGGTTAGATGAGCTCTAAAGCCTCTGCCAAACTAGATGCTTTGGCTGTGGCTGCAACTCTTCTTTTGCCCAACTGACCTGGGACCTTGCTTCAAGAAAGTCTGCCTGTCCTTCGCCAAGGATTCCTTTCAGTGGGAGAATGAACAGGGCTTGGAGCTGGCCTGGGAATACTCTTTTTTTCCTTCTGGCCATAGAGTGGTGCATGTGCTTGGGAGGGGAATATCTAGCTGGGCTTGTTCAGGCAAGGGGACAACCTTACCAGGATGGTCTCAGTTCATGCTAGGGGGTTTTCTGCCTCTTTCCTAACCATCTTAAAGCAAAGTCCATCATTCTGCTGGTACCTGAAGCCCTGAATGTACCTGCGGCTCTTGATAACTGTGCACACTGATGCTGTGCTTTCCTCCCACCAGCTGGGAAGGGAGAAGAGGGGGGATGGCCACTGTGTTTCAGCTCCCTTTGCAAACAGCAGCAGGATCAAGCTCCGCTGGCTGCTCCTGCCACTGGATCCGTGCTCAGTCAAGTGGCACAGATTTGTGTCCTGCTGTTCTCAGGCATGAAGCTGCTAACTCAGCCCAGTCTGATGCACCAGTCTTGCCGACCAACCGGGAGCATCTGGATGTCTGATGCTATTCTACTGGATGTTGCCAGCTTGCTGCATCTACTGACAGGCTGGAAAGTGTCTGTTCAGTTACTGTTCCCACGTCTGCTTGCTGGGTCCCCATCCAGCAGTTGTTCCTCAGCAAGGAGCAGGCCTGAGCAGTAGGTGTGGTAGCAATGACCTGTCTGGGGAGCCTCCAAGTCTTGCTGGTTTGCAGCTCTACCAAGTTCTTACCATGATGTGGTCTGCCTGGAGCCTTTTCTGATGGCTGGGTTGTGGCTTAGGAAACTTCATGCGTCTCTTCTGTGATGGATGAGCCCGTTCTTATCCTGTGTGTGTCACATAGAGGTTGTCTGGTTTAAATGTGTAGTCTTGAGATGCCTCCTTCGGCTGGTTGAGGACAGAGTGGCCACTGCCTTGGGGTGCTGCATGCCCAAAGTGAGCCTACTTTGCCCTGCCTGAGCCTAAACAGGGGGAAAGATGTAAACTTGGGGTGTGTGGGGGAGTGGGAGTGTGCTGGGGGGGAACAGGCCCTCCTTGTGCACGCTTCTGCAGTGGTAAACTTCATAGATAGTTTGGTGGTGAGGAGCTTTCCTAGCTTGAATGGTGGTGTTCTGCATGTTGTGGTGAGCTGGGAGCAGGCATGGGTGTGAATTTGGGGGCTGTCTTCTGATTATGCCAATAGGCAGAAAGTACTTGAGATGTTGAGGCAAGCCCTGAGATGGGTGCTAGCTTCCTTCTTAGATGTGTGGGATCCTGGTGTGCTCCTTAAGGGAGGACCTGGTTGGGTCCCAGTACCTGGTGAGCCTGACCCTGTCCTTGCATGAGCCACCAGAGTTGGCCAGTGTGGGGCTGGCACACCAGGTAGGGCTGGCACGGTGCAGCCCCAGGTTGGGATGTTACTCAAGTGGTATTTGGGGCTCACCCTGGAGCATTCTTTCCCATGCTGGAAACATCTCTACTCAGTGTACCTCATACGTGGCCTGAAGAACCTCCAGGTTCGGGCTCTGGTTGAGATAATCCTGGATCATGGACCTCTGGCATGGCTTTCTTTTCTAGATGCGCTGGTATCCTCCCTCTGAAGCTACCCAGCAAGGATGGAAGTCTCGTCAGTTTTGTTAGTTCGTTAGTAAGTAATTAATTACTTTTGGAGCTGGGTCTGTGTCTTGCTCGTTTCTGGGCTCCTTGGGCTCTTCTGGGGAGGAGGGATGGGAGCTCGGGCTCAGCCCCCTGCATCCATCCAAGGATGTGGTTGGGTTATGTTGGTGGGTGATGGGGCCAAATACACCCCAGTGGGAGCAGGGAGACCCACCAAGCCCTGGGGCGGGGGAAGGGCTGCAGGCCCCGCTTGGGGAGCGGATCCAGTCAGCCCCACTCACCGCTGCTTCTCTCCTGCAGCGTCTCTCCTCGGCTTGTGTTCCTCCTCCCTGCCTTTCTGTGGAGGGATGTGCCAGGGACGATTGTTCAGACTCCTCTTGGTTTGGTTTGTGGCCAGCGGACAAGGCGCCCGGCCCCAGCGCGCTCCCCCTGCGGCTGCCAGCATCCCTCCTCCCTGGACTGTGAAGCTGCCGCGGCCCCCTGCTGCGGGCTGTGCGCTGCCTCCATCTATCCCTCCATCCCTCCCTCCATCCCCAGGACATCCTCCCCCACTGAGCTTTGCTATCCGGCTGTGCTGAAACCCAGCTGGAGGGGCTTGGTCCTGGGCTTCCCCGGGGCTCGCCCTGCCCCGGCGGCTCGGCTGAAGGAAATGAAAGGCAATGAGTTTTGCATGTTTTCTGGCATGAATTAAAACACTTAACTTGTGTATGTGTGAGCGTAAGTTTGTTTGTTCTAGCGTTTGTGTAACCGTTAGCAACAGGTCTTGGCCTAGCGGATTGATCCATCAAGGTTTTCATCTTGCTTCGGTGAAGACTTGGCCTTGAGAAATACTAACTGTCCTTGTCTCACCCCTTCTCCCACCTCTGCCTTCCCCTTCCCAGTATACCCAGAAGAATTTGAAAAATGTTTCTTTTTTTTTTTTTTCCCCAAGTACGATGCACTGGGTTTCTGTTCTCATCCATTCTTCTCTGGTTTTAAAGTCAGGGTTATTATATTTTTTTTTTTTCTTCAGACTTCTATATATAGAATGGCTGTAAAATATCTAACTTTTTTTTTCCACATCCTTCTGATTGGAGAGCATCCAGTCCTGCCAAATAATCAGTCATCCTTATGGGAATACCGAACAAAAAAGTTATGAGTATTTTTGTACCATGTGTAATAAGGAAATATTTATGCATCATAAAGAATTTCTTGTGTGTTTGTGTGCAATTAATTATTATTAAAGAGAAATTGTAATCCTGTAAGATAAGTTAATGTTTAGTTAAAAGCTTGAAAGAGAAGGGTTGTCTTCTGTAACAATGATTCAGTCATGCATAGTAAACAAAATTGTGCAATTTTTGGTTTAGCATCTTATTGCTTGGTATTGAAGTGCTTTAAGTATTATACGACCATGGCTGTCTTGCTTGTATTAAAAGATTTGAGAATAAGTTGCTATATAATTGCTGATCCTATGAGAATGTGAAACTGGATAATATATGAAATGCAACAACAACAACAAATATACTCAGAGGCTGCTGTGACTCTTTTTCTGTTGTCTGTTGTGTTTTCCTCTGGGGCTGGGTTGGGATGCTTCAGGCTCAGTGGTACTAGCACGCCTTCCACTCCTTGCCCAGGTCCTCAGTCCTGCCCAGAGGGATGCAGGCTGCTCTGGGATGCTGCTGAAGACCATGAGTCGAGTTTGGGCATCTTTCCCCCTAGAAGGGCAAGTCCTTGCCTGCATGTGTGTGCATTGATGGGGCTGTTGATGAGCTCTTCTGGAGGCCTCTGAGAGGGCAAACATGAGGGGTTTTTTTGGGTGTTTTTGTTTCCCCTCCCCAGTGCCTGCAGAGGCTGAGGGCCTCTCATCTGTGTCAGCACTGTTCCTCCCCGCCAGCAGTGCAGTGAGGAGGGATGGCCATAGAAGGCAAACGTCCTCTGCAGCTGCAGCATCACCCCACGCCTGCCCAGCTCCTCCTCCAGTGCAGGGTGCCCTGGCTGGGGCTGCTGACTCCTTTTGTGGCCTTATCTGTACCTGCTAAAACAGCCATGGGAACTGCAGCCCTGGGACAGGGGGTGGTTGTCCTGGTGGGATGAAAGCAGGGCTGGATGTTACAGTGGGAGCTGCCTACAGTGGCACTGGAGGCAACTTGCTTAAATCCCAGCTGGGTGGCTTGGGGTCCCTGTGGCTGGACTCAGCGAGTCCCTGTGATGCGGTGTTCCTAAAGCCCTCCCACACAGCTTCCCACCCCAGGGATCAGTGTTTTCCTCTCTCCCCAGAGCTCTGAGGGCAGCACTAAGCAAAGGCAAGGAGCAGGGGAAAAAAAAATTAAAAAAGCAAAAGGCAGGTCTAAAAATAGCCCTGCTGGCCACTGTGCCTGGGAACAGGCTCGGCTGAGCTCTGCTGCTCTGGGAAGTGACTCGCTGCGGGGCCACGGGCTGCCTGAGCTAGAGCAGTGCTGCCAGCCGCTTCCCCATGGGATCCCCCAACCCGTGGTCCAGGCAAAGCTTGGTCCTGCCTGCATCCCAGCTCCTGCCTGAATTTCGGCTCCTGCCTGAATCCCAGCTCTTGCTGGGCTGACTCTCCCCTGCCAGGTCCATCCTTATCTCACAGCTCTGCTCACCTAAGTGGAAACACCCCCAAGAGCAGTCAGGGCCTGGTGATGGGAGTGTGCAAGGCTTTAAATTATAGAGGAGATTTAAAAAAAAAAAAAAAAAAAAAAAAAGCCTTTAGCACATGCATTAACATGGCCAGGCAATGAATAATTTATGCCCAGCTCTATTAAGCTTTTACACTGGGACCCATGCAACACGGCTTGCCTTGAAGCTAAAGTAGGTCACGTCTGCTCCGAGGGTCCCTGGGCGTCCCCCTCCCTGGCTGGTGTGAGCATGGTGCAGGGTTGTGTGCACACGTGTGCGCTTGCTGCCTCTGGCTGTGCATGCGTGCAATGCCCCTGCCCTGAGAGTGGGGGACAAGGCTTTAAAATAAAAAGGAGAATTAAAAAAAAAAAAAAAAAAAAAAAAAGCCTTTAGCACATGCATTAACATGGCCAGGCAATGAATAATTTATGCCCAGCTCTATTAAGCTTTTACACTGGGACCCATGCAACACGGCTTGCCTTGAAGCTAAAGTAGGTCACGTCTGCTCCGAGGGTCCCTGGGCGTCCCCCTCCCTGGCTGGTGTGAGCATGGTGCAGGGTTGTGTGCACACGTGTGCGCTTGCTGCCTCTGGCTGTGCATGCGTGCAATGCCCCTGCCCCTCTCAGGCTGCTCCCACTTGTGTCCTACTCAAAGGGACGCTCTCTGGGTAGTGATTTGGGGATAGGGAATGTCCCTGGTCTGTGCGTGGGATGAAGCTCCAGAGTGGAGAGCAGCTCTGGATGGGGCACAGCCTGATGGCCTTGCCAGGAAAAAGGGTGCAGGTTGCTGGCACCCAGGTCCTTTGGTCCTTGGCGCTGCCTGGACCTGTTGGGCAGTGGCCGCAGGAGAAAGCGGCCAGAGAAGAGAGGAAGTGGCATTGGGGTTGGAAGAAGAAGGAATGGCTGGTTTGGACCCACTTTCATTTTACATTTTACTGGAAACTCCCCCTCTTCTTTTCCTTGTTTTGAAGGTGGGACAATAAAGAAAGAAATAGACCTGGCAGCTTTTGGACCATTTTCTCCCAAAAGGGTTGTGTTCCACCATGGCATGTGGTCCAGGTGCTGCAGCAAGGAATACTTTGGAAACAGAAAATCCAGCTGCTCTGATGCAAAAAGGCCTCATCATGGCTGCACTGGACAAGCTGCTGCAGAGCTGGCTTGGGCCCTCTTTTGAACTGATTAGACATGCTTGCAGCAGGCCAGGGCGTCTTCAGGGAGGACAGTGGGAAGCCCAGATGCAAAACTCAATCACTGCTTGAAACCAGAGACATAGGAAAGGAGACAGGTCATTTAACATTTAACATTAAGCATTCATCCAGGGACCTGCAGGTCACCTGCAGAGCTCCTGTCTCCACGGTCAGGAGTGCCTCACAGCACTGATGCTCCCCTCATGGTCCTGCATAACTTTGCTGATGATTAAGGGTACCCAGATGCAGCTCAGTCGTGCAAGTTGCATGATTTGGTGCCTTCAGCTAATTTCTACAGCAAATGCTGATGAAGAGCGATTCAAATGGCTTCTGCAAAGGATCAAAATGGCTCCTTGCAAACCCCAGCAATTTCCATCTGCTGGTCTGCACTGGCAGTGCAGGGAGAAGAGCCTCTGTCACCATCTCCTTTCCCCAAGGCATCCCTCCTTGCTCAGGCTGAAGCCTTTCATGGTTGAAGACCATTTTGACCTCAGGCTGGATGACAGCTCTTGTGAGTCTCCAAGGAGAGAGGCAGGGGTGCCTCCAAACCTGAGCTCTGCCTTCAGTGCTGTTTCTCCATTGTTAGTTCCAATCCTGCTGGTGGCCTCTTTTCTGCAGTTAAACTCTACCCAAATGGTCAGAAAACCAAACTCCATGGGAACACTGATGTTCCTCCTAGTTGTTTGTCCATTCAGCAGACATCAATGGCCACAACCATGAAGAGATGTCTCAGATGGCCCCAGATCAATCCTGCATCAGGGACTGCCAAAATTTCTGGCTTTAGCAGCTACCACTCCCAGATGATTTCCAAGAAGCTGCAGCTCACGTAGCATTGCTGGGATTTCCCTGGCAAATGTGCATGGTCCAGCCCTGTGGGGATGAAGAGCAGGTCTGCTGCAGCCAGGGAGCATCACATGTACTGGCTCTGTGGAGCCCCGGCCTGGCGCGGCATGTGGCCAAATAAAATGAATAGCCAAGCTGCTTGATGAGGGATGAACTTGGTAGCACACCTCTGGAAGAGGCAGGCTTGGCTGGTGTGTGTACAAGTAGGCTTACCCAGGCCAGAAACATCACCAGGAGTGCAGAAAGAGCTGGGAAATGATGGAGAACAAGCAGGGAGGAGAGAGCACACTGTCTGCTCCTTATCTTGTGTTTCCTTATTGCACAGTGCCCCCCTCGTGAGTTCTTACCTGCCAGACTCATATATCACCACATCATCTTG